CGAAGTTAGACAGTTTTAATAGTTAGCAGAAAACTTTTTCCCGGTTGCGGAGTGCTCGACAAACAGACGGTCTTTATTTCGGCTGATTTAGCAGCGACCACGAATTTATGCTATTTCCTTATGAGAATACTTTTTGGTACCACGGTTTGTGCGAATAAATCGAAAAATAAGGAATCGCGCGGCAAAACGAAACTTTTCAATGCCCCATTTTTCAGGGAACGTGGAAAGGTTTCCCCGTTTCTGGGACAACCGAACAAAGTATCGTGCTTTCCTTTGCAGTTACCCTCCCGCCCGGTCGAAGATCGATAAACGAAATAACAAAATACGCATTTTTCGCGAAAGAGGACGAACCTCTCCTCCCTGGTAAATTAGTTCAAACGGTTGCGCTCTCGCCCGGGCGAGCAATCTCGGAATCGCTTTTGGAGACGATCAAATATTATTATTTTATTTACAGTACAATTGTACGAACCACCCTTTGTACCTTGAATCACGTTACGCCGTGAGATTTCTATTTAACCGGATCAGTTAATTAACTCGAAGGAAAAATTGTAACGCAACGGGCGAGCAATTTGCGGTAAGTTAACGCGGGGCAACGCGGTTTTCGCGACACAAGCATCCCTATTGTTTGTCACGTTTACGTTTCCCCGCGGGGCTAAATTGAATATTCCGACGGAAATTACACGGCTTGTTTTTTTTTTTTTAATGGAACGTTCAATTGCCGTGCATTAATGAATTTCTTTATGGTGCGTTTAAACTATTTCTGTTTCTAATTACGGCGTACATGCGGCGTGGACGGGAACACCGATCCGACATTAGAATTTCTTACATGTGACGCGCATCTGGAGTTCCAACGCGTGAAATTTTCTAGCCAACGCGGGTTTAATTAAATTTTAACGGAATTTACGTTGCCTTTGGGAAGCCCGTTTCGGCGAAAAACGTCGCCTCGTGTACCGATCGCTCTTTTATCAAAGGCTTGTTAAACTATCGACAACTCTTTTTTCCGTTCACCATCTATAGAATTTTGTGTTTAACAAGAGAACCGTAACGTTGTTCTTGTTTTCCTGAAAGTTTCTTTTTAATTTTCCTCTCCGATCCGAACTCCATGGAGCGAATTCATTCAGTTTCAATTTTCGTATACTCTTTCGCGAGAGTGCTTTCCTCGCACGTATACGCGTTACATCGATGTTAGGTGTGAGTACGAGGGCGCTCAAACCAGGCGAGAGTGATATCACTATCCTCTTTTTCGTGAAATCGATACATGTGCTTTATGGGGGTGTGTACTCGTCGCACATGCGAGGGTACCGTATTCCAACAACATTCCATTCTACCTTGTTCTCCCGTCCCTATCAGGATCTCACCTCTGTTCAGCGTAACAGCGCAATTTAGAAATGACTTATTACGAAGTTCTTAAATTCCACGTGAAATCGATTAAACGATAATTTCGATCGATCTCATCTTTTCCGATGAAGAAAATGAATTCCGAAGTAGCTGTGATCAGACCATAGATTTCTATGCCCTTACATTTACTGCAGATAAATGCATAAAATCCGCAGACTGGACGTGATCAATGTTACTTTGACAATTCATTTATCATAAATACACGATCCGATCGGAGTGAGTCGCGGTGGAATTTCTCAGCTGTGACAAACACGGTGGTTCGCGTAGTGCTCGGGCAATTAGTACAGATGAACGAACGGGTGAATAGCTGTCGACCGTAATCCGAATAAAAGCTATGAGAAAAGGGGTGATAAATTATTGTCGGAGCAGAACGGAAGATTTGAAACGGCTATGCGGCTCTCGTGCTTTATAGTCCGTCAGGCGGGCTTCCCTGACAGAGTATCCGACGTTCCAACGTCGCGGTAGATATCCCTCGGTCCGTCTTCGAATGAGAAACTTCCGTTTTCTATCGTCGATGAATCCCCGATATCGGCGAATCAAACTTTTTAATGGAAAAGGCCCGAGTCTGGATCGAGGCGATTTTGCGAATTATTTTTTTCCGAAAAGTGACGTCCGACACCTCTGGCATACAGTCGGCTCGTCGAGCGAACGGGTAGGGGGTGATTTACATGGTGGAAGGTGTCACGGGAAAACCAGGAATATTACCGGTTCTGCAGGATGTGGTCATGAATTATCCTGGCCCGGTTGAAATATCTTCAGACAGGTCTAGGACGTGCCTGTAAGACCTTAATGCCATTAGGAATTTCACTGCGCGTACACACAGTCGGTTGAATTAAGCCAAAGAAATATTTTTGTCATCCGTGGGAGGAACCTCGCCTGTCGCGTCAGACTCTCGTTATTATCTGTGCTACAATTCTGTTATTACGCTGTTAACGTCTCTCATGCGGGATTTATTAATCCCCTGTCAGAGGCAGCTGAAGAAATATGTTGGTCGTTTAGTTTCGCCTGTTAGTCTCACGGCAAATCGAGTAGAATGGAATGAAATTAGTATTAGAATCATTGTCCGACACTCGATTCGATTAGATCTCAATACGATAGATGTCTACACTCTTGAAACATTTTGGAATCGTCGTAAAACTATCGCGCAGTACGTAGAACAATTCTTGGGGAACGCGAAACTTATTGCTATTGTTTCGAAGTCTCAACCGAGTCGAGTAACGATATGAGTTTTTGAGAGGCGAACGCGCGGCATCCGTCCGAGTTTCCCCTCTAAAATTCAATCGGCCGATATTGAAATACCCAAAAGGATTTGATTGAATCGCACACGGCCCGAGCCATGCGAATTCGTAGATTAAACCAAAGTGTACCATAGATCGCGTACGGGCATCAGTCGGCGCTTTAGTGTGTGCTAAAAAAAATTGGCAATGGCGAATCGAATATTAATTCGACGTACTGGGAAGCTCGCGGTAGTTGCCGAATTCTATTTCCATTACTGATGAGTTTGATTTTCTATTGATTCGGAAAATCTGTTTGACAGTCAAACGTATTGAGACACGTAAAATAATTGACGTCGGAAAATCGAGGTCCTCTCGACGCGCGAGGAGCTGCGTAAATCGATGGCCATATTCAGTTTATTTTTTCCGGGAACGATGCTCGGGGTGATTCGGTGTAAGTGGTGCCGGCGTCAAACCTTCGTGGAAGTTTAAACGACTTCGAACCTCTTAGAGCCTCGCGCCCATCAGACGAGGCCGGCCCGCGTCGTCGCCCTCCTCCTTGTAACAACTCAGTTTGTAAAGTCGAGATGCTCACCGATAAAAGTTACGTCGTTTAGCGAGCACGTTCTTAACCGAAAGAGGTCCTGGACCTCCAGATGAACCGACCACCTTCCTCCCTTGTCGCGGCTCGGCTGCGACGGTGGAGAAGAAATTGAGACAGACAGCCTTTTCTTTCGTCCCTCGGACCAATTTTTATTCTTTCCTCCCAGGTTGGTCCTGTTCCTCCGTCGAGAGACGAAGAAGAATTATTCAGCGACGTTCAAAAGAAACCGGTGGACAATATTATCAATCCTACTGTTTCTCAATCTAACTTTTCTATTTAACATTTATCATTCATTGTATTTTGGGTTCAATCCCGTTGAATGAAATATTCCGTGCTATTTTAAACCTCGACCTCTAACAAAGTTCAATTAAGAAAATGAAATTAATTGGTACGCAGATTTTTCGTTAAATATAAAGAGATCCCGAAGCAGAGGATCGAGTATACGTAGGTTTTTAATAGGTCAGTGATTTCGACTAAGCACTTAAAATTCCCACGTTCTCCTCGAGATGATTTAAAGTGTTATAATTGCACTTGAAAGAAGGAAACCATACAATAAGAACGGTTGTTCGCATGATAATGACGGCGTTATTAATTTTTCCTTCGATCAGATCGCACGGTTTTGGCCCGGGTAAAAAAATTGTCGCGGCTCGTGTAAAGAACATGGTAGAGTCTAATGAGAAGCATGGTATATCGCGTGATGCCTGAAACATGCGAGGCTTGGGTTTTGCGTGAATTTATGTCGATCCCCGATCCCTGGTCGCTGATAGTTAAACTAGATGGTGAACCACGATTTTACCAAAATATGCATCTATCCGTGCAACGCACCTTTAACAGCGGTCGTGGTAGACAACGTGGCTCCGAGAGTAATGAAACTCTTGTGAATCGCAAAAGCCCTTTAAACTTCAACACTCGTCGATGGATAGTAGTTATGAAATCCTTTATCATTCGCTGCGATGATTCAGATGTCTATTTGCTGTTCGAAGCTACCCACGTTCCAGTGCACGTGCTCGTTGTCACGTTCCCCGCCGCGTAACAAAACAAATCTTCCGCTCGAGACCTACCCATGTCGTTTTCGCAACCTGCCGCTGGTAATTACGTCTCGACACCTGACAGTTATTACAAGCTTGTCCCGATGCACGGGGCTGCTAGACCCACGTGGATATTAACGAGATCTGTAGCATTAACGGAATAATGAAATGGCACACAAAGGCCGGGTTAATAATAGTTATTATGCGACGGGTTTCTTAAGGAAAAAGACATATTGAAATTTCTTTCACTGAGCATTAGCAGCGATGAAACATATTAGATTATCGTAGATCGCAATTCGTTGAGTAAAGATCAATAAACTTTTTCGTCTCATCAAGTTTCGCAGAATGTTTGATAATGAAAATGGTCTCATTTCGCATGGGAATTATTAATTTGACATTGTCGTCAAATATAGTTTCATTGTTCGACATTGAGTGACGGTGCAATTATCACTCTATTACATGTGATGAAACGGCGATGCGTTCATTATAGATCTCGTTGGTGCACTTGAAATTATTTCATTTTCAATATGATTCATAATACAAACGTATAACAAATGATTTTCGACGAGAATTCAAATCACTGGTCTAATATTTTATTTGAATGCATCATGTTTTACTTTTACTTCCCCATTTATCTCTATCTCGGAAATGTTATTTCCGCCATTCACGAATTTCCTCTTTCACGAATTTGTCGCATTTCAAGAGGATTCCTTTTGGCATCAGGTTTTCACCTGTGTGCGTCGTTGCTGCTTTCAGAATTCTTGGCATGCGTATGCCGAAGGAGGAGGCAGGAGGGGTAGAATTGAACAGGACCGTGGAGCATGGCGTAGTGCTCGTTTTGGGGGTTGCTGGCAGATCAAAGGACGCGAAAGAGGGTCTGGCCGCTCTCGAGCGGTTCGAGGGCCGGTGAGCATCGCGACGGGGCGAGCAACCCCGTTGCATCGTCCAACGTCTAACAACCCTCCCGTCTGTCACTGTCGACGAACAACAGAACAGGTAAGACTCCTCGAAAGAGTCTCCTATCGTTCAACGCATTACCCTAAATCCTAATTACATCTCTCATCTGTCTGCGGTTTTTTACGTTACGATTACGACTTCTCTGTATATAAAATCTGGAGCCTATATAGTAATTAATGCATATTTTGTCGTAACGTCCGATCTGTCTCTCTGTTCATTACTTTGAAATCCGTTCGATGTAATCGCGAAATCATGGGAAATAATTGATAAAACGAGTGAATGATCGCTCGTCTCAGTGTACTTGTTACGGTGAAAGAATCCGCCAGTTTCGTACGCGTTGTTGTAACGACGTATCCTCAAGTACGGTGGATCGTGGTTCAGAGAGCGAATTCGGTGGTTTAGCATGTCGACCTGACACACAACCATGGTACGTTTGGCGACGTGGAGACCGCAATTGCGGCCGTGTCGTCCTAACACCTTCGGTAAAAGTCGTGTTATCTGTGTGGTAATAAAGTACACGGTGTCAGCCGTATACGCTGGCTAACAAGCTTCTCGCAAAATGTAAGGGAAAGAATAGATATTTGAAGTAACAGAAAAAACGCCGAGGGACATGAAATGAAATTTCTTAGAAAATCTCTCCTTGCTCTTCGTATGGCGTTCTTTTATACCCGAGACTTTTCTCTATTATTTATTCTCCCGAGGAAAACGTAAGAACTTTTTCAATTCCTTTGACCCGATCATTCTGTTAATCAGTGATGTTCGTGTATAACAGAGTCTCGAAATAATTAAGAGAACAGGAGAACGTCATTTCGTGTATTTAATTTCCTTTTATAAGATAAAAATACATTGTACGATTTGTGAAAAAATATTTGCTTTGAAAAAGTATCAAATTCATGCCTCTCGTACATGAAGCACGTCGATGGTAAACAAAATCGCGGGGACAACGTGCATACCAAAACAATGTTTTCCGAAATTGGGCGTCGATGGAGTGGGGAGATCCCATAAATGGGTACTCGTGTTTCAAGGGTAATTGAAAGTTCAGTTCGGACACGTACAATCCAGCGTACATCACCGAGTACATCGCGCTGTTAATTTCGTTCTTTGATCGGGATATACAGAAAGTTTTGAGTTTCACGGATATCGAATTAGTTATTAACAAGCGCGCGAGTGTCTAGTGGGTCTCCGCACCGATCGATAGAGCGGCTGTGATGGCATCCCGAAGCAGGAGAAGGAAACGTGAGTAACACGGAGTTCGATCTTCCTTGTATCGAACTACTGATAAAGTACGCGATGCCTAGAGGTGATACACTGCGAGCTAGAAGAGAGACGTTTGTGATATACTTTTTTAAATCGAGTGATTTATACGTAGATCAGGGTCGCACAGACGCGAGTGATTAGCTTAAGAGTTTCGTATCAGAATTGATCTCAGGGTAGTGATAGGAATGGTTTATCGTTGGCCGTTGTTAAAAATATTTTATACGTTTCTTTACCTTCATAACGTTCGGGCCAACTGTTTGCACGTGGTATTATACGTGTATTATGCGAACAATGCAAGCGATTCATTTGCATTTGTAATGTGCACGGTCAGCAGTGGTCTCTCGAGAGCGATAAACATTACATAATAAGTAGAACGACGTAATGGGTAAACGTAATTGGTCGTTATACGTATGAGTAATTTGCGTCGTGGTCATAAGATCAGTGATTATTAATTGGGCCCTTTAATTCGTAATTAAATAGGGAAATTACGGTTGCAATTCCAATTGGTACCATGTGTTGCTCTCTAAACGAGGTAGCGCGAAGCAGCCAAACTTTGAAAGTATTTTCTAAGCAGCGAGATTTACCTAGCGAGACTTCTATGAAACTTTTTATTAAAAAAAGCGTGAGATAATGGATAATCGATTCTTTAATGAAGCACGAAAATAAAAGGAACTGGCAACCTTCAGGCTCGGCGAAATCCCATCGATAATATTATTCAACCGTAATATTTAGTGCACGCTTCTTGGATCATCGTACCGTTGATTACCCGGATACTTTTAAACCGAAGTAAAAGGTTCAATAGGAAAAAAAGTGTTTAGCTCCTTTCTTCTTTCACGATGCCGACGACAGGTCTCGGGAGTCTCGTTTCAGCTACTGTTCTATTAAAATCATTTATCCGTGACCCTTTGTCGGGCGACGCACGTCGAGTACGAAACGCGTGGGTGGAGGAATTAATTTCGAGTGACTCAACAGTCGCGTGTTAATGTTTCCTATTACTCGAAGAACGCGGAAGGGTTCGCTCGGGTGTTAGGCGACGACTTAAGAACTCGACGATTAGATTTTAGACTCGTGGGTCAACGATCTGTCGTCCGTTCGATTTTTATTCCGGTAAAATTGAATCGGCTATTGTTCTCAATTCGTCGTAACGTCGGTATCTTTTAAAATAAATTTCCTAGGAAACAATAATTGTGAATCTGTGGTATTTGAAGGATCGTCTGGATAAAAGTGCGCGCTATTCGTTCTTATTTCCGGATTAGATAACAGCGAAAATGAAAGTGCTTCTTCGATCGACGGTTCGAAACCGTCAGGGGTGGTGGACGGAGGAAGGGAACTTGCTGAGGTTCGTAGGTCGCCAAGTTCTTCCATTAATCAACACGGAAAATGAACCGCACCCAGTGAACCGCAATGATTCGAATTCAGAGTCAGAGGAAATTTATCGCGCCACTCTATTTTTCTCATGACAATTCTATCCAGTTTGCGCGTTACCAACCAGATTCTTTTCGAGCGAACCGTGTTAAGTCCGTACGTAGTGCCTCTCGTACGGCTCGCCAGGAATAAAATGATCAAGCAGAATCTTTCACGCGGACACGTTTTCATTGAGAAGTACAGATCTCTCGGGCTCGGGCAGCAAAGAGATTCGGTAGCAATTTTCAAGAAGCGAGCTTCGTCAGGCAGGCGTGTCCAGTGGGTTGGGAGCCCATTGGTTGCAGCTTCGTTCATCAATCAGTGCGCTTAAAATGAACCGCGCTCCATCGAGCGCATTTCCACCCTCTCTTTCTCTCGTTTCTCTTTCTCTGTATCTACCCCCGGTCCCCCTCTCTCTCTAGCGCTTTCCCACCGCCCGTTTCCGATATTGTAGTTCGCTCGGAGTGAAAAAAATTTCGATTTCTGCTAGTTGCTATCCACGAGCGAGCCGTAAAATTCGCGTTCGATGGTTAATTGCGCGAACCTGCGACTCGTGAGGTAATTGATTCCTTCGTCTCTCGCTCGTACGTAAAAAAAGGCGAATGGAACTATCCGCGAGCATTTTCGAGGACTCCCATTTTTCCTCATCGACTTCTTTCATCGCCGGTTTAATGGTGAATTTTTTCGCATTAGGCGGACCGTGTTGCCGTTATGTCCCCATTGAGGCCGGTTAAAAACGAGCAGCCTCTAAAATTTGTATGAGTGACAAGATGATTCCTGATTGAAAGAGGGGATTCAGCGTGTCCCGCAACTTGCGACACGTTATATCCCGTGTGTTTGAAGTTTGATAACCCCGCGATTAATGGGTAACAAGTAGCCAGAGTTAATTCGCTGGAAGTTGAAACGAGGTTAAACGCCGGGTATCGTGTGCGTTTATACCCTCGTTCTCCGGTAAGAGATTTTACATAATTTGTGAAGGGATCTGCCCTCCCCGGGAGATATGAAAGAAGCTCGGTCGAGGGTGAAAACGGGAGAACACTTTTATTATCTGTCTCCTCCTCTGTTCCATGTACATAAATATAACACGTCCGTTGGTTCAGTAAGATCTCGTTTCGATATCACTTAATCGAAATTTCTCAATGCTTCTCAAGTTCATCCACCAGGAAAATTCACCCGAAAAGTCAGTGTCGAAACCGTTCCACTGTCCCGCACGACAAAGCGTATCGGTGAACGTGCGTGGGGTTTATCTCGAGCAAAAAAGGTTTCGGATCGAACGCCCGTGGAAGTTGGAATACTTTCCATGGGCGAAGTTTCGACGGTTAGCTCCTGCTGAGGCAGCTGAAACGAGATGCTTTAACGACGGGAAAGTTTGTTTTAATTGTTCGAATTTCTGGTCAATTATGCAGCCTCCTTCCGGCATTCGTCATTGTCCTCCCATACGTGCTCCGAATATGATTATCAGAATAGCCAAATTAGTTCTATCTGCAATCAGAGTCGACGATATTCTATTATACGTTTGAACGAGTTCCGACATTCAGCGAAAGTTTTCTTACATGTGAAACGTCTGTGATGTCGATGCAGATATGAATCAGATTATCTAACTAAATTCGACTAATCGGAATTAGCTTCTTTCGTTCCATTGGTTAGAGAATCGATCAGAACAAAGAAGCACGATAAATGTTTCTACTGTTAGAATCCTATTGGATCAAAGCGTATTAAATAAAAGCGTTTATAATTCGAGTAAAATGCACAGTGAAAGTTCTGAATAAGCGAAGCGGTTGTTACGGTAGAAATTACATTACCTCTCCGGAGAAGAGCGGAATCGTACGATTTTCAAGTTTGTCAGAGTTATTCACTGTATCTACGTATTGGCTTATACGGGAATTCACATTTTTACGTTAGTTGGAACGCCGCGATGTTAAGTAGGATCTTCTTCCATCCAATACAGATTTTACTCCCTCGAATTTTCCCTCGCTGAATCTATGCTCCATAAAAACTTAATAATTCTTTCCCGCTATAAAAGCGTAGCTTCAAAAGCCTATTCAAGAATTTTTTATCGTATTCGTTCATGGCTATTAAAATCTCATAACGGAATTTGTACAAAGTAATGTTCATACGCTGTAAAGTGAGTTAAATCATTAAAAACCTTCTGTTACATGCTTTACTTCGTTTCCTGCTAAATCCATGAGATTCGCAAGCCGATCGTTACACAAACTCCGTTTATCAGTTTGGTCATTCTTTTAATCTTCGCCGAACGTCGAAATTGTTGATAGAGCTGCGGTTCGATGGATCGAGTCGTATCCCTCGGATGGAGGTGCATTACACGTCGATATCAGGGAGACTTATATTCCCGGTAAATTGCATTCTAAAGGTGAAGT